AGGCAGAGCCCAATTTCTGTAATTTCTTTGTGTGTTTATGCTAAGCGGTTGGAGGAGGGGGAAACGAAACACACCCGCTCCTAAGCCCTCACTTGTACTCAGGTGAGACTTAACAGGGTCTGTGTTCAAAGAGTCTGCCCTGACAACTCAAAACAGGAGGAAGCCCTTCTGGCCAGGAAGTGGGACACCAGAAAAGCATTCTCAAGGTTAGAGCTGCAGACCTTTGATGTCAAAAGCACAGCCCACCTGTGCACATACATGCACATTCTCTCTCTCCCACAAACACATACAGTTTCTGACGACACTCCGGGTGGTGGGACAGACAGGGTGGAAGAATCCAACTCTGAGCTCACACAGGAGAGTGCAGACCCCCTCTCAGGCAGATGCCCGGGACAATGGGGCGGGGACTACAGAACGGTTTGATTGGAAACCACGGGCGGGGAGGAAGAGCGGGCGGGAGGAAGAGCGGAGGAAGAGCGTCTGAAGCACGGCCCTTCCCTGGAAAGGAAAGCGCATTCTCAAGGGCTCCTCGCTCTCCTCCTCCCAGCTGCTAGGGCCCTAACCCTTGGTAAGAGCTCACAGGAAGGAGGCTGGGAAAGAAAAGTGACCCTTGGCACCAGCTGGACAAACACTACTGCCACTGCCAATTTCTTGAGTTGTTCCTTGTGGGCCAGGACACACCTCTCTGCCCCCAGTCCTTGGAGGGAACAAGGAAGAGCTGATTGACAGAAACGGGGATTTATGTAGGACCCCACATCCCACAAACCCTGCTGTCCCCTTTCCGGCCCCCAACACCACAGGTGCCATGGAGACAAGGCTGGCTGACATTTTCATCTTGTTCCCCAGGGCACCCGACACTGGGTGGGTGCTGGGTGGGTGCTCAGTGGGTGCATGGCAAGAACCCACGGGGCAGAGCTGGATCCGGGCGGGAGCTCCCTGGATACCTCGTGGAGGAAACAGCATCTAAGGAGGCCTTGCTCAGGCCACTGTGCCCACCTGGGAAACATGGTGGTGGGGAGCAGAGTCCTAAGAAGAGGAAGCCAGATCCGTGGGCTTCGGCTCAATCCCAGGTCAGTGTCCCGGGGCCCCTCTGAGGTTCCCCATCTCATGGGCCCGCCCAGCCATCCACGTCCATTCAGAGGCTCACAGCCTCCAAGGGGACACAGCCCAAGCTGGTTAAAGTGCAAGGTTTCTCATCCATGTCTTCTGTGACAAAGTGCAGAAGCAAGCAGCTCCAGGGGGTGGTGCCTCCGGCCCGGGCAGGAGATGAGAGGACACCAGGAGCCCCTGGGGGGGCGGGTGCCCACACAGGTGAAATGGTTCACTTTTCTCTTCGCATCTCTCTGCAGGGCAGGGGAGGGTAGAGGCACTGGGATGCCAGCGTGCAGCTGACAGGCAAGTCTCAGCTCAGGGATTTCTCTGGGGAAAAAAGCACTCGCCTGCCCATAGCCACGTCTGGCTCCCATGGCCCTGGAGGCCGTCTTCTGAGAGGCAGCTCCTCGGGCCACGGAGCTCTCAACGAGACGGGCAAAGGTTTTAAGTATCCCTGAAACACCGGCGACTTGCATCTAGCTGGCTGTTCGTGGCTGGATTCTGCTGCCAGCATCCGTTCCCCAGCTGTGGATACAGGCCAGGCCCTGATAAACCCGGGGGGGTGGGGGGAGAACAGAGGTGCCGGCGCCCATCCAACGTTCCTTCCTCAGGGCCTCCGAGCTGCCTCATCCGCCAGTCCTTCATCCTCCTGGGAGTCTCTCAGGTCAGGCGTCCCGGGAGGGATAGAGTGGGCCAAGTAGCGTGGCAAGTGCCGGGCTGTGCACCAGAGAGGCCTCCCCAGGCCTGGGCCCCCACATTGCCTGTGGTGCAGCTCCTCTACTGCAGTGCCCTGGGCATCACCAGTCAGAGGGGAGCCGGGGAGCCCCCCCACCCCCCGCCCACCCCCACCCCCAGGGCTGAGGGCCCGAGCTCAGGCTGAGGGAGAGTGCAAGACAAGCTTCAGGAATGGAAATGGGATGGAACCGGGTTCATGTGCTTCAGTGTCCCCTGGAGGAGGTGTCCGGGCCACTCAGGGAACCTTTCATGTTCTGTTAGGGGGAGAAGAGAAGAGAGGGGACAAGGAATTGCTGACTTATTGTCAGCTGTGTCTCTCACCAGAAAGACTCAAGTCAGGCAACTGAAGACTGCTGCCCACTCCCCCAAAACCCCCTGACACCCAGACAAGCACACAGCCCCTAAGGAGTGCCATCAACCCACGCACACGGCTGCCAGACTCCGGGAGCCCATCAGAGTCTGGGGGGGGCCGGGCAGGAGCCGAGGGCTGGGCCCTGGTGGAACCTTACGCTGCATCCCAAGGTCTTTCAGAAACGCCTGGGTGCTCTCCGCCCCCACAACAAGCTCTCCCTGGCCAAGGCCAAGACCAGGATGAGCAGGGAGCCTCCTAAAGCACCGGGAGTGCTCTCCTCCCAGCTATGCTCAGAACAGGGCCACACACTCCAAGTCCCTGAGATCCAGATTCTAGGAAAGCCAGCCTGGCAAACAAACAAGAACACTAGCAGTGACTGGGCAGGGGAGGTCTGGTCAAAGAGAGCAAACCCCCTCCCCCCTCTATCCCTCCCCCGCCCCGAGCCACAGCAGAAGACAGGTCTGAATGATGCTCCTATTGCTGCTGTGTTGCTCAAAGTGCGCCCGACTACGAAACATCTTCCATAGAAGGAGCCCTGGTGGAGTAGTGAGCACACATTGGGTTGCTAACTCCAAGGTCAAAAGTTCAAAACCACCAGCTGCTCCATGGGAGAAAGCCGGAGCTTTATCCTCCCATCAAGAGTTACAGTCTCAGAATCCCACGAGGACAATTGTCCCCTGTCCTGTAGGGCCACTCTGAGTTGGAGTTGATTCCATGAGGGCCAAAGTCTGCTGTCACTCACAGAGGAAGGCTCTCTACCGAACTCCTGGAGTCTAGCCTAAGGTGACCAGATTTTAGCATTGGTAAAGCGGGACACCATTGATAAACTCATATCCCGGCGAAATAGCCACATGGCAGCCAAAAACCGTATACCCTAGCTTGTCGTGCATTCTTTCCAAAAATCGGGACTTTTTTAAAACACCACGGGACACAAGAAAAATTGTTAAAAATCGGGACTGTCCCACCAAAAGCGGGACGTCTGGTCACCTTAGTCTAGCCCACAAGAACAGCCCAGGGGGTTCAGGAGTATTCTCTTAGATCCTGAGTGCCTCCACCAGGACTGCTTTAAAGGCAGCAGGCAGAGAGAGCAGGACCCAGGTAAAGAGACACTTGGGGCCACCATGGCCCACTCCTCTGCCCGCAGACCTGAGGGCCTCTAGGGATGAGAAGCTCAGGTGGCCTGGCCTGCAATCAAACCACCACTAAGTTCGGGGCCCTCTGTGCTTGCGCAGGCTGCGGAGGGAGAACCACAGCCTCTTCTGGAAGCAGCTGAGCTGCTTCCCTGCACAGCTGCCAGTGCCGGCCGCCCTGGGACACCACCAGCCGGCCAGCACACACACCCACACGCAGACCCACACACACCCACGATGGCAATGCAACATGACAGTGAGGACCACAGGCACAGGCCACCTCCACAGCACTGGGTCACGATGCCCCTGGCTCAGGACACACAGGGGAGGGGGGGGCGGGCAGGGCAGAGGGGAAGAGAGGGGGCCACAAGACAAGGGGCCGCTCTTTAGGAAGCTCTCCGGCGCCGGGACAGACAGGTGCCACAGACTTCACAAGGGCCAGCCAGCCTCCACACAGGCTGAGCGGCCAGGTCTCTGAGCCACAGCGAGGAGGGGCATGCACGGAGCCATTTACCTTTCCAAGGGTTAGTAAGGAGAAAACTTTGAGAAAATGTGACAGACACTTCGTCTTTTGACCACAGTGGGGAGGGAAAGGGAAAAAAGACAAGAAAAGAAAAAGACGTTGGAAAAGAAAAGAAAACATCTCTTTAGCAGTACGTTCTTTTCACATGCAATTGAAATTTTAATGTCCTCAGTGCCCGAAGGTCCCCAGGACCAACTGCAGTGCCTGTGGGCTTCACTGGCCTCCCTGTCTTGCTGGGAAGCTGATGCTCTGGGCACCAGCCCTAAGGGTATGGGCAGCTAGGCTGCAATCGGTATGAACCCCGCCAGGGCCGGGTCTACCCACTCCCACATCCTTGTGTCCTAACGCTGAGAGAAGGAGCCCCATGGGCGTGGTGTGGGACACACAGGAGAACACTGACATCCCAGTGGTGTGGTTTGAACCCAGAAACACTGTGGCGTGTCCACTGAGTCAGTGGGGAACCAAAAATCACAGCAGCTGCCAGGCCGCGGGTGCTCACCAGACACGGTGCCCAGGGCCACACCTGTACCCAACAGCATTACACTGAGGAGACGGAGGTCTAGGATTGCATTAACTTGCCCCCAAGCTTCCAAGATAGAAGACAGTAGACCCAAGACCCCTTTAGCTGGAGCCCGGTCAGTTGCCAGAAGCAGCCGTGTCCCCCATGCCGGCGGGCATGTCTCTGTGAGCACACTCCAGGGCTGGACACGGACTCAGTGGAGTCAGGAGGGTCAGAACCACAGAGCTCCTTTATGCAGCGGAGCTGGGGGGATTCTAGCCAAAAGCATTACTGACCTTGGAGATAGGGAAGGTCAGCTTTTGAAAAGTTGGGGTACACTGCAAGTGGCACCCCTCCAGCAGGAAGAAAATGGCCTGGTGACATCAAACCATGGTCACAGAATGAGATCTATGTAATTATCAAATCCAAGAGCCGGTCCTCACACGACGTGGACCTTTGACTCTGAAGTATTCTACGTACAGGTCCTAGCTTCAAGGACTGTGAGGAACTCTTGTTCTGGAAGGATGGAAGTTCATGGAGAAAGTCCACCACTACATACCTCAAACACCCCCCACCCTCCGAGTTAGCAGCTGTGGGGGTGAGTCAGGCAAGCCAAACAGCTCTGGGGCAGTGCCCTGTGGCTGCAAACATCAGGTGCCTCTGGAAAGAGCTGAGTCAATAGTACTTTGGTCTCAGAAACTGGCGGAGAGAAAGAAGGCAGTTTTCAGAATCCAGAGGCTGGTTCAGGGCCTGGATCTGCTCCTCACTAGCTGGGTGACCGTGAACAAGTCACTAGACCTCAGTCCTCATCGATTAAACAGAAATAGCAGCTGCCCTGCTGACCTCATAAGGTTATCTGAAGGTACAGACCCTGGATGTGTGGAAACCCAGTCCTCTGTGAGCCGTGAAGCAGGACGAAATGCACTGACCGCTGTGGTTCTTCTGCTGGAGTCCCCGGGAGTCACACGCTTGATCACTATCCGAAAGCTCCACCCCAAGGCACCCCAGAAGAAAGGCCTAGCAATCAGCCACTGCAAACCCTACAGAGCACGGGTCTTACACCTCGATACTCACGGGGTGGCCCTAAGTTGCAATCAACTTGGTTTTTTAATGGCATGACCACATGAGGCCAAAATACCTCCTGGTTCCCCAAAGCAGCTAAACTCTTCCCATCTTTTCCATTTTGGTATGAATCTACTAAGGTGGCCTGATGAGCAATGAGGGGGCACCAAGGGTGGGCTGACTTGGGTGCCACTGTTAAAGCTGCTGGGAGAAGGCCTTGGCGACCTCTGAGGTTGGGGTGACCGGCCTATTTGTTTTGCAAAGCAGGCTGGAGGTGAATTTCCCTTTCAGAATGCAGCCAGCAGTAGGGCAGGGAGCTTAGGATAAGGTGACCAGATTTAAAGCGGGACACCATTGATGGGGAAGGGGGAGGGGTTCGTGATTAAAAATTTGGTCTATATGGACCAAATAGACTGTTCCCTAGCTTGTCCTGCATTCTTTCCAAAAATCGGGGCTGTCCCGCCCAAAGCGGGACGTCTGGTCACCTTAGCTTAGGAAAACAGCAGCAGGCATGTAAGTGACCCTGTGCACTCTTTCCTGAAGTGGATGAGATTATAGTGCTGGGGGCGGGGGTTGGGGTGGGGGCTGCAAGAGCAGATACCTACACTTTATCCAGGATTATGAGCTACTAACACTTTTGTCTGTGTAGGGGGGGAGGGGCGTTCAGTACATTTTTTTTTTAATAAGAGGGAGGTAGGTCAACTAAGTTTGGGGACCTATGGCGCAGTGTCACCAAAATCTGACTCTAAGGGAAATCTAGGTGTCTGTCGAGCCGCCGACCACCCCGAGTGGGATGGAGGGCCCACCATCTGCAGCAGCGTCAGAACCCAGAAAAACTGCTGGACCACAGCGGCTTCCCGGCTCTCTTTTTCTAAGAAGCTGTGGATTGCCTGTCCTCGCCTCCCTTCCCCATCTCCTCCTCCCCGTCCCAGGAGACTTCTGACTCCACAAAACCCAGTCGTTAGCCTCAAGAACGGGAAGGAGTCCGAGTCGGCAAGCAGGAAGAAAGCAGCACTAGCAGAGCAAAAATGACTTGGAGAAAAATACTTACAAGCAGGCCTTCCCTAGCAAAGGCTGCAGAGAGAAAAAGGTGAGAAGACATCAGTGCAGAGACGGGAGGGGGGGAGGGGTGTACAGGGGCCAAGTCCTTAGAAACCAGTGTGCCTGGCTGACCTCCCACCCCCTCCAATGGGCTCTTGGCAGCTGAAGGAAGGGCTGTCTTTGTCAAGAGCCAGTGGGCAGCTCTGAAGAAGAGGGCGTGGGCACCTACTGCTCTATCCTTCCAATACGACCCTCCGTGTGCACCGTTCTGTTCAGCGGTTATGAAACAGGTGCTTTCACACCAGAAAGGACTACTGAGGAGCAGGCCGTCACCCAGCCCAGCCCAGACCCTTATTTGAAAAGATCGGGGAGCTTGAGCTCCAGGGAGCTGAAGTAACTTGACCAACAAAACCCTGCAGCTGGTGCTAGTGGCAGGGCCACAGCCAGGAGCCACCCTCCACCCCGGTCGGTGAGCATCACGGGAGGCACTGGGCAAAAAGTACCCATCGGATCCCCCTTCAGCACAAGATGCTATACCCCCACTCCACAGCTGAGAAGGCCAGGGCCTCGCTGTTAGTCGAATGTCACAAAATGTGTCCCCTCCACACCACCCTGCTGGAGTGAGCTGCTGGGGGTGGGGGTGAGGGTAGGGTGTCTGGGAAGATGTGTGGGTGGGGGGAAATCTTGAGAGGAAACAAACTGTGCCCAAGGAATCTCTCCATCTCACAGGTTTACAAAAGGTTCTTGGTGCTCTTAAAGGAAGCGATGGCGTTTGATGAGAAGTAATGTTACACTCCTACCCCACAGCCAAGATCCTCTCGCCTGTGACCTTCATAAAGTAGTAAGTACAGCCTGTCTGTCGCTGGGTTTGGTGTTATGTTCTCCCGTCTGCTGAGGGAAGGCTGCTGTGTGAGCACGTGGCCACTGCCTACCGACCCCAGTCCTGAGCACCAGCCGCAGGTCCTCACTGGGCTGTGCCCGTGCTGGCTCCCAGTGAGCGGACAGGCTCCCGGGGCCCCTTCCAACTACAGCCTCTCAGTATGAGGGAGCGGTCCCAGGAGAGAAAGAGCAGTAACAATAGCCAGGCAGGGACAGGCGACAGAGAAGAAGTCCTCAGGCCACACCTGGAGCATAAAGGCTCACAGGTGGGGTGGAGGGACAACCTGCAGACTCGTCTTAGTGAACATAATTCACCACATGAAGGGGCCTCAGGTGCTTCGTCTCTCTCTTGCACTCTGCCTGGCTGTCTCGCAGCGAGGAGGTGGCGGCAAGGAAACACAGCCCCCCCCACCCCCCCAGCCCTAGTGTTCCAAACTTCAGCAGACCATTGTTTTCTCCCCCTTCCCTGCCTCCCCACCCCACCAAGCACACCACACATGTGCACGCACACATACCTTACATGCACGCGCCACACCCCCAGAGTCTCAGACCATCACTGCACCCCAGAGTACTTAACTCTTCCCGCTCCAACCCCCCAACCCTG